ACACTGTTTTCTGACTGACTGATAAGTCATTAAGGATCGTCAGGATAGTTTTATTTTACCAATATATTCAACATTAAGATATCTATGATATGAACAATTGATAATTAAAACAATTAACATATCTAACTGTTGGGTGTGTTTAGATGACCAAAATGATGTTCGTGTACTAAATAGTTTGTTAGTTTCACGTTAGTGAGAATTAGAATTTTCTGTTATTTTAAGCCGGAATCCTCTATGATAGTTATTCTTAATTTCTACTTCAGAGAAAAAAACCCTTACTTCTTGTAAATTCACTACACTCTTGATAGGTTAATTTTCTTCTACATCCAAGAATTTCGTAAATCTTTATAAATGAAATAAATAATTGTTGAAGTGAATTAATATTCTTAGGTCTATTTCAATAAATCTTCAGAATAAAATCTGTCTTTTCAATTACGCAGAGGTAGGAAGAAGACAAGGGGTATATCTGAGTAGAAGCTAACAGTTTTTCACCTAACTGACAAATTGATTCATTTATCTGTCAGTCATAATCAATGTCATTAATGTAATATAATTATATATATAATCTAACTTAGGCGGAGTTCGAACATGCGACCTACGCTCGGATCGAAGTTAGGTGCTACAAATACTGAGTCGTTACACTTGACAGCCTTAAAATAAATACTGAATAAAACATTTTTAATTATGCAGTACAAAAAATTCGTAAGTTAATAATTAGTATAAACAACTCACTTTAGCTTTTTCATAATCATAACGATTCGGATGATGAAATCGGAAACGTCGAAACACATTAGCTATTGATTTTTTATGCAATCGTGTAGCTAATTGATAAGGTGTTATACCATCCCCATCACTAAAATTATAATAAAAAATAATAATTTATAAATAGGATTCGCTTAATTTGTCTGTTCAGATATTTCAAAACTGAGGTTTTGAGTAAAATCATTGCTTTTGTTTTTTTTTAAGTGTACAAGTTAAGGAAAGTAGAATCCAGACTAACAGTATGAGCAAGTATCAGAATATAATTAGTTGATTTCATTACTAATTCGTAAGTTATATTATCAATCTCAATTACAACACAGTATTGAAGGATATATGTATATTATCAGTCAACAATTTATTAATAAGAGTAAACCTTTTCGGTAAAAGGTATATACTAGGGACAAGCAAACAGGAATCGAGAATCCGATGTTTAGGCTATTGCGCAAAATTCAAAAACTATGTACAGTGAGAAGTAAAAATACCTTCATAAACATAGAGTAAAAACGATAGCGCAAAATATATAAAACCCTTAATTTAGCCTCTTAAGATGGTACATAACAAGCTAACCGGCACTATTCCTGAATTCAAACCATAAACCCTTAATAATGAAGAAACCTTAACCTAATGGCACTAAATTTTAGGGACAAAGTAGTCAGATAGTGCCTATATTTCCCCAATACACCACGTCCATGTGATGGGTTTGTGAGCCTTCGAAAGTGGATTTCTAATTCAGATAAGCCCATAGGATTTTCCGAGTAGGGCTTCACCAACCTCGAATAGCTGGAACAACGCAACACTCTTCCGTTACAAACTATCCATTTATAGACGCTATTTTCTAATTGACCAGAAACTAGCTGGAAATTTGTCGAAATTCTTTTAGGCTCATCCGTATACTATATTTTTCATAACTTTTCAGTTACAAATATCTAAATACTATTACATATAAGCATCATTGAACATATTAACAGCTGACGACTAAAATTCTAAAGCACACCATTATTATCATTATGGAAAATAACATTTTATCACCATATAATTGAAGAGAAACTATGTCTACACTTATTGTCAGAGAAAAACTGTTGATAAAATTAGAAGTTAGTAAGTTATGTTTTGCCATTGTAGTGACAATGAAGAAGACAATATTAGTCTCTTAACTGTAAAAACAAGATGAATTCAAGTTAACAGACAAGATAAACGTTTACTAGTAGAAAAATTCACTTGAAAACAACCTGAGAATGTTAATCAAATTTATATATCTAACTATAGACAGTGTTTTAACTTTGATAGTAATAAATAGCATTAAACACACACACACACACACGCAAAAAAGAAGAACCAGAATTCCATTCATGAATACAACTGATAAACACCAACTAAAATCAATATAACGACTTTCAATACATCGTTTATACCATTTCTATACTCGTAGTGATTTTATAACAATTCTAGAGAAGGCTGCGAAATTCAAAGTGAAGATAATATAGGTAGTATAATTAACATTCATAGAAAATTATTTTTAAAAACATAGTTTATAACCTCATTTACAAAAAAACACGATGTAAACTACTATACAACATCAAATATCAAAGAATATAGTAATTAAGTTGTAAAATTTAATAAATAATTATATCATTAGCAATGTTAACAAACATAATCAGAAGGTCAACCATGTTAAATGATGTTATACAACAGGCAACAAATAAACGTTTTAAGGTGGTTGGTAAGTAAATATTCACAAGCGCTGTTATACAAAAACACCGAACCCACACGTTATCCCAAGTGTCAACCAGTTACTTATGATCAATGCATAATTTCATATTAATATTGCATTACCCTCATACCAAATTGGTACAACAAAGTAAAATTAACAGGAACAAATGTAGAACAGTCAAAACAACACAATAACAATCATAATAACATTGAATAAATATTGGAAATATAGTTCGAGAACGTATCAAAACATATATACATTCGAATACTACTACTACTACTACTACTACTACTACTACTACTCAAGATCTAAAAGACAATAAAAAGTATACACATCACAGTCACCATGACAGATTCAAATCAATGTCACACAACATCTCTAAACATCCATCACTATATCCCCGTGCACTACAAACACACAGTCTGCATTTACCAACATAACTCACACCAACAACCAATAATTACACGAACTGATACCATCTCATGGTTTGGCCTTCCATGGCTTACTTCAAATCATACCCTCCTCCACCCAACACCGCAGGTCAAGGGAGGTGGAGGTGGTGGTAAGGTATACGTCTCATGGTCTCAGTCTCAAACACCCCAGTCGATCAACATTCGCACTCGTATCAATAGATCTTTCGTGCTTAGCCCCCCTCCCCAGTATAATATCCCTAACCTCATCGACGATTACTCAGCAGTTCTACGGTACACCGAACAATGATTTGAAGAAACCTGTGAATAAAACGCTCTAGTCTATGGATTCCGAAGATTTTCGCAAAACATGTTTAGTGACAATAAAGCAATACAGAGTAGTGCCTATGCGATTTGATAGCCTTTTAAAAGGCAAATCGACATCTTGTTGGTTAAATTAACTTGCGCAAAAATAATCACTAATTAGTTTGAACAATTTTTACTATGAATACGGTTCTTTGTCAGCATATCGATTAAGGATAATGTAATAGCGTAATTTCAAACAAACTTGATACCGTGAGATTTTAAAGCCTTATGGAATGATTTCAGAAGTTTATTAAATACACCAAGAGATTTTTAATATACTACTATCTAACCCTGAATATTTGTGCAGACGGAGAAGCATACCGGCTGTAAAAATAAATCTTGAGTAAATCCCCGTTAGTATACCACTACCCCTTCGAAACACTATCACAGAGAAAGAATGTGAGCCATTAGTAACTGGTTGCACAATATCATTGAAAAATCGAATAAATAAAATAAAAATAACAAAACAGATAAAAAAATTTCTAAATTATAGTTATGACCTTAAAGCAGCATATTATAGATGAAGTGAAAAATAATTCAAAATATATAACAAAAGGTATTATTGATAGAGATTAATTAGAGAATACATCTGTAACAATCAATTTACTGTTTAGGTGAGAAAATCTATAACCTATAACAACAAATGTATTTGCAATACTTCAAAACATCAACAAACTATCGATACCTAACAATCATTCCCTAAATCTGACGTACTATTCTGGCTAGTGTAACAGTGGTATAGAGAAAACTAGCCAAACTGACACACAGAAATATATTTTTGACAGTTAACTTGAACTATGTGTAGAAGTGTAGGCTTCCAGGTTGAAATTCACAAAATAATCGTGATCAACAGTTCGAAAATATAAAATTACACATAGCGGAATCGATGTATTTATTCTTTAACTTTCCTTTTAATTTTGAATATTATTTCATAATTTTTACTTATCAATTTCGTTCCTTCGCTAATTTTCGCAATGTGCAGTTTTAAATTTTACTATCATAAGTTGATCGAACTCGTTATTCGCCTGACAAGTGGATATGATGTTGATGTCACAAAATCTTTCGAGACAATTAATACATAAAGGAATTTGAATGTATCACACTTGATTGAAACGGTTGTTATAAAAATATTTAAATCAAATTTTCGCATCCAAAAAGACACGGTTATCAATCTTGCATTGTCAAAGGGACAGAGTTTTAATGAGCTTGTTATATAGGGAGTTTTTTCACGATCATTATTATAATTTCTTTATTTCTTGCTGCCTACTTGAGGTTTACTCAGCTAGTCGTCTTTTTTTTAAGTATAACATAAATCACGAAATTATCCTTTGATTTCTAGGAATTCTGTCTTCATACTCTTCTCAATTTTCTATTCGTATTATTTAACCTATGAATAGAAAACCATTTGAATGATTTTTATTCATTCCACCCAAAATTATTGTTTTTCATCAATCAATATCCACATGTTAAACGGAATCTCTGGTTACAACTTCTCAGAAAGAAGTTTTACGTACTTATTGTTTTTTTTCTAGATTTATAGATTGTAAGCAGATGAAAAGAAATCATGAAATAAATGAACTCACGTATTATCCAGCTACGATTGTTGGTTCTTACTTTATTTAAACTAATACAAACTATTTGACAAATATAATTGCTTATGTACTTGATTTTGAGACAACATTTAACTGTGAGTAACACTATAGGGTTCTGACACATATATGTGTATGTACGAATTCAGCTGCTCCTGTGGAGAAAGCTATATTGAGCGCACTACCAGACAACTGAGACAACAAGTTAGTGATTACTTAACTTCGTGGTTAGGAAAGGGTTCCGTCAAGACAATACGCAGCTCGATTCTACCACATTTGATTGATAGCGGTCATGTAGCAAACTGAAATATGTCATCTAAAGTGAATTATCTAGCTTTTCTTATGGGGTTCAATTTCGTCTCTTAAATATAGTAGAATCCATAGGAATTCGAGCTAACAATCCAAGTCTTTGCGTTCATAAGGAATTTGTAACACTTTTATTTCTTATTATTTCCCATACTTTTTCTTCGTTTATTTTTCTTCATCCCCTCCCACCTATTTTTATCCAAACACACGCTTCATTGTCCAATTGTCTGAACATGTCTTATTACATAAACTTACAGTTTTTATGAATGTTATCTCAGCATGTATGGGAATTATCCCCACTATGAAACATGGATATGTCTTGATTATTCTTATCAAAAATATTACACCTGTCATCACACCATTGATTCGTACTTTTTAATTATTATGTTTATCTATGTAGTCTACTGTTATCACTGAATTATGAACTGCCTTGATTGGTTTAGTAATTTTGTATATGCATATAAATATTACTGTATATTAAAGCCTGATGGGGATCTAATCAAAAACAATATTGCTCGCTTATATATGTTGTTCTAATTCACAATATGGGTATTTTTTTGTAAATTATTCGATTACTGACCAAAATGAACTATTTGAAATAGAAACCAGCAAGCTGGAACTCTACGATGTGTATGCAAGAAATCATCATTATAGCATTGAGTTTAGAACAAAGAAAAAGTTTCAACAAATCAACAAGCTAACAAAATGATTACACAGAAATATAAATTAATACATTTTATGTATGTATAACTTAAAATAATATTCTACACTGACCTAAATGCTGGATCACATCCACATTCAAGTAATAAACGAATTAGTTCAGGATCACTTTGAAATTCTACAGCTACATGTAAAAGTCTTCGTCCATCAGTTAATGGATGATTAATTAATTTTAAACAAACACGATATGGTGGTACAGTTGATGATCCAGGTGAAGTACATTCTATTGCATAAATAACGATACGAAAATATTTAATATATCTCAAAAGCAAATAAACACTTAATATCAGTAAGTCATTTTAAAAATAAATAAACGTGTTTTTGTGTGTATGGGTGTGTTAATGTCTCTTTTTCGCTCTATTTACCTAACAGATGGAATGTTACTTCTTATATACGAACAAAGAATAAATGAATGACAACTGCTAGGAGTAATTTATGGAATGTTATATATACTGAACGGGCTGGATTAGGAGAGAAACTACTATACGTAGGACCGATAAGGACTCAGAGTTGACTCAAGGCTGATCGTGCTGGTTGACGCACCATTGGTTTAGCAAGGTAACAGAAGTCGGTATTCTGATTGGCGATTTTGTCACATAATATTTGACTCGATATCTTATTTCATAAAATTATAATTTAAACCCCATTGTAAAGAGAATACAATGTACTAATCATACATTCTAAAACATAAACATATAAATTTCTATTTCTTGCTAGTTATTCGAAATAATAGAATATCGCTTTTGTAGTGTTATAAATAAGATAAACTCTTAGATGAAATATAAGCAATAATATTCCTACAAAAACAGCAGAAAACAAAAGTTGAACAAGTTGATCTATCTAAAGTACTGGTATAACATGAATCAGAAGAGAATTCATTGTTAACGGAAACTAGATACCATCCAAACTGGAACTTATAAGTTAACACCGTCGCCACCGTTATAACCTGTTGATTGTTATACAACTCAGAAATACCAACGTGACGGTGATTGCAAAACAAAGGCTCGTCGACACAACGCCAAACTCTTGACACATTTCTCAACGATTAAGAAGCAGTGATTATTAATTACATTAAAACAATTACTAATTGAAACGAACTTCACACCGTCAAAACTAAATGAATAATTATTAGAATACGGTAGAATAACACCGAAATGGTTCATAGCTTAATTTGTCGAAATACAAACGAATATTGAACTGAACGTTCACCATATTAAACTAATCAATAATCTTACTCTTCATCGCTTCTTATCACTTCTTATGTTAGAGATTGACAGCAGTTAGAGTACTATTGAAAAGCAAGGAGCATTGAACAGCTGGTTCATCTTAATGCATGAGAATCCTCAGCAATGAGTATACATGACTCAACCAGGGATCGGAGTTTCAAGTCACATAAATAAATCGATAAACACTTTGTGATCATAGAGTAATAATGAAATCCTAATCAACGCCACTTTATAAATGCCCTACCATCGGTTGAATATTTATTCTATGTGCCAACTTTCTTCCCTATCTCCAAAGATATTGTAGATACATTTGTATACTGAATAGCTTCTTGCCAATTTCAGCATTATTTGGTCGCTGTCAATAAATATTCCCTGAGAGTCCTGCCTTTTCTGATTAACCGTGATTAGAAAAAAAACAGAATTGTGATATCAAGTGTATCCAAACCAGAGCTGAGAGTCCACAATACTGGGGACAAATAATATCATCTACACACTGATAAATTTAAAAAACCTGAAAATGTTAAGTAGTCATCTTAAAATTGTACACCAACCAGTAGGGGATGTATTAGTAGTGGTCAGCATATTAGCCGTAGTAGCAGCAGTAGTGGTAGTGGTATTCAAAGGAGCAGTTGAATTATGAACTGTTTCCTCCAATTCATTTAAATTATCGCTTTGAGTTATATTGGAAATATCCATTGGTAATAAAGATCGTAAAATAACCAAATCTCCAGAAGCAATTGCTACACGTAAACGTCTATGCCAACTTTGATAGGTGAAATATAAATCTGTGTAATATTTTTAATTATAGTAAAAAAGAAAATCTCATTAGCAATTTATTACACAAAACAAGAAAAGAGTGGGGAAAAGACTCAAACTAAGCTTTCATATTATGTTAAAATGAAATAATACACGAATAATAATTGAGGCGTGCACCATTGCGTGAATAGTGACTACTAGATATTACTCATAACAAAAGTGTTATTTTGCAAATATCCAATGAATTTTTAAACTCTATCTACATTAGATTCAAGTAATTATCAATACATTAGATAACTAGAGGTTATAAATTCAATCTTCTCACATTACCCAATTGTGAGGATTTCGTTTGTAGTGAACTATTGTGACTCTTATTATACATTTGAATTACAAACTCTATCAAATAAACAATTGCATCGTAAAGTGATATGGTACACTGTTGTGTGACCTTTACATGTTTCATTGTAACGATATTTGTTATATTGTATATCCCCATATGTGTGCGGTTATTTGCATATCTAGTATTTTTTTATCCATCCTCTTATTTGCTGTAGACGCAGTCGGTTAATAATTTGCTACTTATGTTCACATTTATAGTGACATTCAAAACAAAATCAATTCATTCATATTCTTTTCCTGTGTCTGGTTTGATTGCTAAGGTGTGATCTATTGAGTTAATTTGCTCCTAATACAAATTGACTTCCATCCAACGCGTATTCGATTGCTTGATTGCTCGAATAGAAATGAATTTAACCGTAGTCGAAGAATTAACCAGTGGAATATATACGAATATGTAAGATCGATTATACTTAAAGTCGGAAAAAAGTATTCCAACACGATTTATGCCTACCACTTTAAGCAATAACACAAATGATTACCAACAATCAGTCAGTCAGTCAGCTACAACGTAGGACCAGGCTGCGTATTCTAAGTCGATAAGTGGACCTCCTGGTAGGAGATCAATACCCGAGAACTCAGTCGACGAGAAAGTTATTTCCATCAGTAGATCTATGATGAAGTTAAACAAAAATGGAGAAAGTGGACAGCCTTGACGGACACCACTTGAGGCTGCAAAAGTAGATGACAGTTCGCCATAAGCTCTGACTCGACTAGTAGTGTTTGAGTAAAGAGCCTTTACAAGGTTTATGTACTTCTGGGGTACGCCTTTCAATGACAGACGATTACCAACAATACTCGGATATCTTAACCCCTGCTGGTTTGCGTAAATTATATTCCCAAAGCGCAATTAGAACACGAAGGTGGTCAACCAATTCAGCTTCTATTATTGTATCGTGCCATGATTCAGAAGCGCACAGGTTAATATGCATCAATTATACGGCAACAACGCACCACTTTTTTTAATTAACTCATTCACCAGATACCTAGTAAGAGCCACACTCTAAATGTGAGGGCTAACGATACTACTCGGTTGATCAGACCAAAGTAGATATATGACTAGGTGGTCCTACATGATACAAAGCCGAATAATAGATATATAATGAATTAACAATAATACAAAAATAGTTTATGAATGAAATGGAAGCTTACAATATGAGTGTTATAAAATATCATAACCGAATATCTAATAAATACACAGTAAAAATATGCAAAACTATTCCTCTTCAAGGATTACTGAGGATCCCGAGTCCGAGCAAAGGGGAAGGGTTGGATTATGGTTAATAACCCTAACTCGTAGAAGAGAACCGCAATACAAAAACGCTAACCAGATAAAGCCAATTTAACAAGCAAAAATCTGCTCTGGGAGTTGAAGGGTCTTCACATGCAAGAGTTATGATGCTTTACAGGAGAGCTGCGAACCTCTGGAAACCACGTGTCCAGAACCCCTTCTTACAAACCAAGGCAACAATAAATATAGGGAAATGAAATGTCCGGATGTGAGGAACCAGGAAATTCACTCGAATATCGATAGAAACGAGAAGATACAACGAAGCTCTACTTGGAATAAATGAAACTCGTTAAACACCATCTGGACAGAAAAAACTAACTTCAGGAAAAATGTCGTATTCAAGTTACGAAGAAGAAAGTGCTTCATACACAGGGATTCGCACTGATTCTGCCCGGAGAAGTACGAAAAGTGCCTATAGGATGGGGAATCCAGTGCTCCGCGATTGCCATAATATCCTTCAAAAGAAAGAAGGGAAAGGTTACAATGAATGTTATTCATTGCTATACATCCACCGACGATGATAGTGAAGATGATGAAGACGACACACTGGATTTTAATGATCCTTCAGTCGATACCGAACCAAATAAAACAATTTGCTTCAGTGAGAAAATATTACGCATATAATCTCAAAGTATAAAGACGCGTTACGTAAACAGTCGAAACAAACCTTCGAAATTATCAGTCACTGCTTTGACATCATTACTTTCAGAATCGTTGGAAGTCGAAAGCAATGAAGATTGACTGTTTGGTTTCGTCTTTCTGACAGTTTCTGTGGTTTTCCTAATATTATTTTCTGAGTTCATAATCTGCTCCACTCGATCATCATTGCTATCATCATCAGTATCGTCTTGTGAACTGACACAATCTGGCAAATCAGAATTATCTGAACTTGATGACAATAAATTCTTTTTAGGACTAGTTTCCAGTAGGCTAAGTGAACCTAAAAAATAAAGCGATGAAAACAGGAGAAATAAGGCTATAATTAAAGAACTAAACATAAGTCATACACAAGAAATAATTATCTTTTCTGAATGATATTCATGACCCATCTAATAAAAACAAGATGTTTATTTGACAATATTGGTGTTGTCCGCCATGAAATTTTAACGAAGAGTAAATAGTTGACACCGCCTTTTATGTGGAGGTTCCTAAAGGTTTATGAGTTAGCAGGTGATGTTAATGGATGCGTGCAACATCACAACAATGTTTTGACCAGTAAATTGATCACTATGATAGATTGCACTCCTATCTTCCCCAGAACTACCCACTACCGAGATATTTTGTCCCACTGAAGTTCAAAATAGTCATACGGAGGTGTTACAGAGACGATGTGGAGATCTTATATATAGGATCTGTCAGTCCCTGGTCTATGTATAGTGTTTTCGAGATCGCCAATGAAATAGTCAAGTAGGAGTGGGAAAAGTCTATCACAACAAAATGGGAGTAAACAGAAAACTCTGCGTCCAATTTAAACCTTATAATGAGTTATATAAACAAACTGGCAGCGTAGTGATAAGGTCACCCACTTGGTCCACTCCTATTTGACTATTTCATTGGCGATCTCGAAAACACTATACATAGACCAGCGACTGACAGATCCTACATATAAAAGAGATAGATTATACATTCATCATTTGTGACAAAATACCAACTTCAACAACATCCTGACATCAATCGATTAAGTTCAAGATGGAATCTCAGTTGGATTCAGAATCTTACTTCTTAGATAACATTTTTCAAAAGGAGAGCTAATGATTGTCTAAAAAGCTCGATATACAGAAAGCCAACCTGGAATGTCCAGTATGCGAACTTTCAAAGCTTGTTCCCACTGAAGCATAAATGAAACCCGATTCACTCTCTATGGACGAAGCTTATCGCTTAAGAGTTTTCATATTATTCTATTATAGACTGGTACTGTTAGCAGACAAATTAACTATAAGTACGATTGTAAAGCTTATGTAGATGAAACCGTCGAAAAAAAATTCTTCCTTCGCAAAAAAATGTATTCATCCTTTTTCAACGACATAATGAGCCTCTTTCGTTAAATTGAGAGTTTACCAAATGAGGATGGGAGTGATGCAACTTTACAGTTTATAAAATAAAGTTTTTATGGTCTGTTTGGCTTTTTATTGGATAAACTAGTAATTATTTACAAATTTGACTGTCGATTTTTAAGTAGCAAGGTAAAAACTTCAGTTAAACAATAAGTTTGAAAATTTATAAATCGGCAGGTAATAAGTGAATTCTACTGTCAAAAGAAATTAAGATCACAAAAATAACCCCCAATTTGGTTTTCAGTTGGCTTAAGCTATACTAGTTTGATGAAATCCCTGACTAATATGATAATATCCATTTCATTCAATCTTGGAGCAAAACCAACGACCTGTTTTGAAATTCCGTACTGCTGTCAGATGTGTAGACAGAGACTACCCGTAGACGTAAAAACAAAAAACGATCCGTCATGTGATAATGTACTTTATACATATCTTCTTTTACACCATTAGGTATAACTGTGTGAGAAAAACAGTAAGTTTTCCCAAAAATAAATCTAAATGTCTCCCACAATATTTTTTTAGTCAAATACCTAACAAACCAGAACCGACCATATAATTAAAATAAAGAATTTGTAGATTGCTCAATATAAAGTTAATTTTCAACACAATCGACATTAACTGAAAACCGTGTTTCGACATCATTCGGAGATCGAAGTAAGAGTTTTATGTCATTGAGTACGATACATTTAAACTACTGGGAAATTTTGAACCGGGACAAAAGGTATCCAGTAGTTCTGTTTTTCAACCCCGCTTTAGATAGTGTCAGTTCATGGTGAAAATTAAAATTATTTGATAGTTACTTTAGTAATATAAGAATCAGAAACATTCATAGGACTGAACGGAAAAACATGAGAGCAAGTACGCTCATGAGCTGGGTCCAAACAGAAAAGAAAAATAACGCATTTTTATCAGTAAAAAAATTGATTCCTTTTTCGTATTTTTAGGTGTTCTCATGTGATTTAAATAAATCCCTTTTTAAGTACATGTGTTTTGTATGCGATTTTATTTCCATTTGGTAAATTAACTAGTTTGAGTGGCGACAATGATCCCAAAAGACATAAACGGAAATTTTTGATCTAGTTTAAGGCTTTTTTGCCACGTACTTCAGCTTTTATTAGGTTAAAATTGGTCTCGTTATTGGAGTGATATCCACTGGAAAACTATTAAAAAAACAGAAGTACTGAGAGGCTGTCTCATCCTGACCCAATGCCACACCATTATTGTTCGTGCACGACCACATGCACACACACATGGGATCGAACTCATGACCTTCAGGTCTCGCCGAGACCGCATCGCCTTCAAACTACTAAATTGGAGTCACTTGGTCTTATTACAATTTTTGCAATATTAGAGTCGAAATTAAAGATCAGTAGATGGAATATTTCTTTAATATGAAGACGAATCTAATGAAACTAGATATACTAAATGACTAATATACAACGAAGACAGTCGTACATGCATAAGGAAAGAGAGAATACAGGACCTTCAAGAAAAGACAATTATATGAATGAACATCACAGTATATATAGCATTTTACGAGGCAAAGTGACCAATAAGAATAGATGTGAATTACGTAGTATTTCTACATTACAAGGGTTATAATGTTACTGAGATGTGAAAAGGATGAAGCAATATTGTTGTGGCGATTCCAACTGATTACAATAATATCGGTTTCAGTGAAGCCCAATAGATCTATATTTTAAAACTCAACAAGCTTGTGATTACGACATACATTATCCAGTACTAATGGTGGGTACAGATGAGTCACTATCGGTATGGTTGGGTTTTATCAGTTACAACTTCTTATAAGAAATTCAAGAACTCATTAGAAAATCAATCACTAGTGAGCAACAAAAAATAAACGTTTGATTGAAAATTTTGTTGAGATTAGCTTAATATGAGATTATTTTTCATCGTGAATTATAGTTCAGCTTGGAAAAGGCAATAAAATTATTTTAATGAAGCAGAAACTTAGAACTATTAGATAGTGTTCATATATGTCAACGAAATGATGATAACGTAATCGATGATGAACAGTTCGGCGAGACTATAATTAATACATGAACTTCAAGAAACCCCAGAGTGACCTGGAGAAAATTCGCCTACTTACTAGGGTCGAAAGAGGTTTACAAATCAGTGTGAGAAATTAAAATTAAGATTTAGAGTTGGAAGTTAAAGTTAGGGATAAGGGATAAAAGTTTTTATCACGAACTGGCATCAGATATAATGCTGAATTGCTATTTAATCATATGGATGAATGAATTTGGCGCCGACAACCAGGACTAACCACCTTTAATTTCATTGGTTCGTCCATGAATTATAGTCTCGCCAACAGTCCAACCTTCAGATTTTCATTACAATTGTACATTTAAGCAGAGAATTAGAAAATGAAACAGATGAATTCCAGATGATGTCAATTTATCTCTAGTTGATTAAGACATAACACCCCTCGATATATTATTGTTCTTTCTTAATCTAATTGAATAAATGTATGAATTATTAATAATTTTGTGATCGACTCAAGCATTTTCTAATATCACACGATTGTTTCTAATTATATAAATAAACGTTAGTTTATGAAAATGAACAATGCTTCAAAATCCTGGCTAATATAGTTTGAAATTAACCACAATATTACAAAGATACGCATTAATTCAGAATAACTCTTCTTCGAAATCACAAACCACTTAGTATGATTATCACCATTATTATTATTATTATTATTATTATTATTATTATTATTATTAATCCAGTAATTGCCGGTAATAGTATAAAAATAAGCTGCAACTTAAGTTATAAGGAACAATTAGTATAACCGATAAACATCTACTCATTAGTAATATCTACAGAAAGAAAATGCTTACCGTAAATTAATCGACCACTTTTAGTTTCTAACAAAGTTTCATCACCGCTTTCAGATAATTTGCGCCATTGATTTCGACCTGATTTACTGAGAAACTCCAGATTAGCATCAGGATCTGTTCAAAAAGTGCAGTAAAAGAACAAGATAATGATGATGAGAACAGGGAACAAGTAAAAAGTCGTATTTTATTCTTTATTACTTACGCTACAGATAAAAAGTTTATTTCGATGAGTAGAAACAAAGAATGTGACACGGTTACGTAACTGGGGCCTGAAGCCAAACTATTAATGATAACAAATAGCTAGCTGTCCGAGGAGAAATAGGTAGATGGGGGTTTGAATATGTGACCTATTGATTAAAAGTCTAATGGTCTAATCATTAAATCAATTACTCAGTATAGATCTTCTTAAAACTAAATCGTTCAATCTTTATTCTTTTTACAACTAACAAATAATTATCCACAGTTAATTCACAACAAACTGACTCCAAAACACCAAGCACTAGTAAAAATATTCTTTAGACACTAATCGATACTGATAAACCGGATAAAATAAGTCTAAAATATGCAATCCAGTGGGTTGAACCTAGCAAGTGACACCTTGACAGTAGTAGGCAAAATATGTTTAATGTGTCCGATGGAATTATAGTTATAATTCAGCAGAAGAATTCAGTTATGATAATGAAGTTATCTTGATAATAAACAATCCTTATCGACGCTTGTCTTTTTGCCTACATATCCGTTAAAAACAATTAAAATTCCACAAAGTCATCTATACTACATCATACACTCAGACAACAATTGATTAACATACTCCTACTTATTAAAACAATATTGGACAATTTACTGGTTGAAAATAAGACAGAGCAGAATTATTACATTTATTATTGACATGGACAATAAATAGTTGTTATAACTTTATAACTTATTAGATAATTCTTTGATATTTGAATCAACGAGTATCCTATCTGACCATATTATCCAAACGCAAACACTACAATATGTGAATGTTCAGCTAAACAGTCGTAAAATGAATGAGATGAATGAGCTGAATGGCATCATATACTATCACCAAATAAAGTTATGGTCTTATTATAATAGAAACCGAACAAAAAACCTAATGTGTCAACAGTGGTTGATCAATGCAATTTAATAAGTTGATCATGTAAAATACTAAACTCAAATAAAATAAAGTTATCGGGGATAAAACAAATTGTTTCGTGTATCTTACCATAAACATCAAAAGTTGACAATTCTTTGTGTAATTCTTTTACGTGTAAATATGTGATATGTTTGCTACGACAAGGTATTCTGCGTAATCTTGGATCATCTATTGTCATTCCAAGTCGACAGTCACAAGCTTTTGAAGCTAATGAATCTGGGACAAGAGGTGAGGAAATTCGATAACTGGAATTAATCGAAGAATAGTCAGTTGATTCATTCAAATTATCACCGGTGAATTTATGATTAGATGGCACAGATGAGGATGATACAGGTGGATTAAAAAATATACTTCGATGTACTTTGGGAGACCACAAAAATATCAGCTGGCAAGATTGTAACAGAACACGCCATTTGTTATGTAAAAGATCACTTATTTCCTAAAAAAAATTTAGAAGAAAATCTTAGAAAGGAACTAATAACCAGGAGAAATGGAAAAAGCATCCAATGATTCACTGACACACGATAACTTAGTAGTATAAAGGTGATACGTTCACCGCTGGATCTGAGGATTTCAGATTCGGCCTCAATTGGAGTCATAGATGCGTACCTCAGATGAGTCCCTCACTAGAACATAAAAGCTTTTCAGTACTCCCTTGTTTTGAACAGCTGTCTCTAGCTAAAGTCAATCTATGATTTAAGCTATCTTAAAATGGATTGAATTGAACAAAGCAGCTATTCAGTAGCAATGCTCATTTACGATTCCACACGGGATCGAACCCAAAACCTTCAGGTGTCGTAGTGAGTACAAATTCTTCAATCAGTTTAAGTCAATTCGCAACATGGTGCAGTCATCTACCGTTACCGGTAGCGGGTAACTGCTTCACATCCGATATGGTTGAACCCCACTGGTCACGATTTCTCACTGGAACTGAGATTATATGTCTCACTAATTTATCATGATTTGAATTTTTTATGCAACTCAACGATCAAGTACAGGCTAATGTAATTAGCTTTAAGTCACACATAGTGTAAGGGAAAGTGACACTACATGTAGTCACCTGAACTGAATTAGATGCATCTACAACTCATGGGTTTAAATCCAAGTCTTCTAACCAATAGGCGATTGCGTCTTGTTATTATCATATGATTTCAATGCTGATTTTCTCGCTTCAGTCAATATACCTGACTGACCAAGTAAAAAGACCAAAGCACTCAACATAAACTTCTTCAGATACAAGCCAGTTCTTTGCTATCTTCCTTTACTTTGTAAGCGGTAACAACAGATTATTGTATGCTATCTCAATAACTTGACAAGTTCGTAATCGTGTAATTATATCGAAATCATCATAATCACTAAGAAATGGGTATGTAAAACAGTGACACAATAATAATTATTAACGATAATTACATTACGAATAGTTGCTTCACCATGACGTCGAAGATTAGCACCAGCAGATTTCACTCCGCCAAGACCACCACATTGTGAATCATAAGATGATTGACCACCACCTTGTTTAGCGCGTACTGTATAGTTGCGCAAAGTTTTATGAACAATCTCGTTTGTTCTTTGAAAGTGAAAAAATATAATGACAAACATATTCGGAATAGTACTGATTGGTGAAAATTAATTGATTTACTTTTACTCTATAACATTAATTTGGGTTCAAGAAAACTTTAAGCCTGCATGCAATGATAAAAACTTAAAACGCGTGAAATTTCATGGGCATTCCGATTATCAATTCACTGATTAGATGATCAGATAAATTTCCGAAAATCGTCTGTATACACAGTTTTGGCAGAACACTTGAGGCTATAATCAAAAATTGTTTCATAATTGATGGCACCAATAAAAAAGCTATAAGAACAGGATCATGGTTGTGTATGATACTGAGTTGAAGTCACAGAGCAACAATTTTTCTAAATACATGGAACGTCCGGGCAATGTATGATACTGAGAGGACCAATCAAATAGCTACAAAATGAAGAAATACAACTTGGTGATTCTCAGAATAAGTGAAACTCATTGAATCCAAGTTGGACAGAAAATATTAGATTCGAGAGATTCTATTCTACTCTGGTCTTGAGGAAGAAAATACTCCGCACACTCAGAGAGTTGCACTAATGCTGTCCAAAGGAGCATAAAAAACACTCATAGGATGGAAATCTCATGGATCTGGGACCATCAAAACGTCCTTCAAAACGGAGAACGTTACTAAATATTATGCATCCATCAATGATAGCAATGACGACGATAATGATCAGTTTTACGAGAAGCTGCAATCGATCATAGCGAATCTGTTGCAGAAACAATGTGAACCCTTTTCAAAGATAGGTACAACTATCGACTAATTTCATGATGTTAGAACACTCTCTAATTGCAAAACCCTTGTAAACAACTCAGTCAGTTCCCTAACCAGAATGTCGCTACTACCTTTAAAAAGAGCCAGAAGTCATCTGGACCTGGTGATTTGTGGCGCTTCAGGAGTTGGAGTTCCTTGCGGTCACCCGGGGTAGACCGATGTGCTTCAATGAGGTGTAAGGAGCCTGGAGAAACTCAATGCTTATAAGCGGGACGTTTTGCGAAGCCACAAGCGACTTCACTCACTATTTCCGTGGCGTCATGCAATTGCAGCCAATGTTCATCCATACTTTTCGGTGGGCTGATAGCTAGCTGATGATCGCATTCTAGATAACACAGATACTATATTCAATACATAGCCCGTTATACAATCAACGAACCTTCGTAGAAAACGCACGGTGAAGTACAAACGTCAAGGTTTTTATTTAAACTGTGGCAGATGTATTTGTACAGAAAAGCAATTGCTTTGTACATAATTGGGAACTTAATTACTATGCATTGCCTCCACATCCCCCTACAGCGTCCTCCTTTCTTCATGCGCCTGTTTATTTGCAGCTAATAGTACGTTTTAGACAGATCACGGAATTTATGATATACACAACATTGAGTACTGCTGCTCACTCCAATTACCTATAAAATATAGTAACTGGTGCGCATACTACTAGCATTGTAAGGAAACTGGATAATGGAACTATGATGCAATTTTTTGTAAACGACATATAAAACTGTAGAAGATAAATATAACTGCAGCTTTTTAAAGTTCTCCCAAATTCTGTTTAAAAAACCAACCTCAAGGTAACTTACCCATCAAAAATGCCACCAGCGAATTTACCTCCAGAATAAAGAAGAATAGCCCATTTCCGACTTTGTCGAACACGCGAAACAGATCCCAGCAACTCATCCATTGTTAAAGGCATAGTCTGAATGTAATGAGAAACAACACCAAGCTAAAATACTGTGAACTGCTTCAGTTATCTAAGATCAAGTGCTAAACCTGCTCCACAGATTTATTGATAAAGGAAGTTGCATTCAGTCATACTGTAACTAATAAAATTGAAAGGTACATTACTAAAGATAAGTGTCGGACGTGTAGTAGCGATCTGTCATCATCTAGATTTGGTTCTTAATTAAATGGACAGCGTACTCCATTTCGATATTGTAGTAACTTGCCCTTTCGCTTAGGCCCGTTAGTAACACTTGTGTCTAAATGTACGTAGGTGCCTATTTAAAATTATTAAGACTATCGCAAATCTCATTTATACGCATTTACACTACGAGAAACGCGAGAGAATAAAGTATATTGTTATGAAAAATGCAATTTTATCCTAATTTTGATTACTGGCACGATTGGTTCAATTGCCCCTAAATGCCCTGGTACGGCCGAGGGTGGACAGAGTCAACTCTATCTCTCGAAATGTTCTCACATGGCCATGAGTATACAGCCATTGATAGGGAAGTCCCACTCACTGCCTTCTTGCGACAAGGGTGTTTTTTAGGAAATTGAGAACGAAAAACGAATGTCCGGAGCTTTGACCGAGTTGGTGGATATGGAGGATCTACCTACGACAGTTGGAAAATCCTGATTTCAAACCAATGGTGTACATGGGCTCCAGGACTTTGAAGGAACAAATGGTGTATGATCCTACTGCTGGTTACCGGCTACCACAAGACTGCATCTCCTAAAGTTGTTCCACTGACTTGTGGATTAGACCTTCAGTTCAAAGGCTCGGGGTATGACTCCTTAAGGAAACCACCTGCTTTGGTTTGAGCGACCAAGCAGTATTCTAGCCCTCACAAAAATCGAATGACAAAGTGTGGCGCATATTTGGTGCTTCCTTGTAATAACGTCTATGTGTTTAAATAAATAAATTGGTTTTGTGGCTGTAATGTCAACTTCCGAATCGCTGCACAATTACGTACTGCAAATGTGTCTAAGTATATATATATACCATACCGAATAAAGTTAACATCATTATTATTCTGAAAACTGTTTACCTTCCTAGTAAATAGAACACAACGATTTATTCCAACTATTTCTGAATTATAATTTCGGAAAAATAACATCTGCTTATGTGACGATGCAGTAAGTGACGAATTAGTAACCGTTTTAGATGATGTACCATGATCACAGTCATTGTTGTCAATATTTGGTTCTATAGTTGCTGACAGTGAATTAATTGGACTCATTCCAACTTGATCGATGGTATTTATTTCCGAAACATTTTCTATTTTCTCTTGTCTTAAAGTTTCGAATAGATCAAAATTTAGTGGACAATAACCACGTAAGGATCGATTTATATTGCAGATATGCCATTCACTTTTGAAGTGTTCCCGCTGGAGTGAAAAAAATAATCGTTAGCATAGAACATTTTTTGTGAAAGATACCATATCTACTGCATTATCCATCTTCAATTGACATATATTACAATGAAACTTCTGAAGGGAAGAAATGTAATTTTTTGTTGGAGGATTTGTTGTTTTCGCATCTGTTACGTGTCAATATGATTGTATCAATTTACCTGTATTTTCAGAACAATGGTTGCTGAACGTCTCTCCAACTAAAACAAGACCAGTTAACTTTTCGACGGCTATTTTTTGGTCGAAAAACTGGTAACGATCGCACGTACGTTTGCATTGACGACTGATAAGACCAACATTTGACGACATCACGATGTATGCCAGACAAATTTTCTGGAATATGGATAGAAAAAAGACTAATCATTACAGCTAAAGAGTCTATTTAATTTCATCCATGAAAAATAACATCCCTTGCTGTTGGTCGCTAATTAAGAAGCTGACTTATAAATCTCTATAGATACACCGGTTCACATTATTTAGGTAAGACAATTGGATATGATCCTACAAAATAATCAACCAGTCATTGGCTATATACAATTCACCTGTTTGGTTTGTACGATGCTGAAATCGCCGGCACCAAAAAGTGAGAAATTTAAATAAATATCCTTAACTTATTATTCTATTAAATAATTGAAATTTGCCGTAAAAAACAGTTTGGTCTATATTTCTATGTGTTGAAGATGAAGCCACAAATGAAGGTAGACAAGACTCAAATTTTAGATATAACGAGTGACAGAAACATCCCTTAACACTACTCAAGACATTTAAGACAACTGAGAAAAATATTGCTTGCCGCCAAAGTAAAAATAATGAACGTGCAATATAGTTTGTAGATCGGATATAATCGTCGAACCGAAACCAACTGAACTGTGATTCTGAGCCTTTAATGCCGAAATAAACACTGACCTAGTATCACTCTGTTTTACGGACAAACTAGTAGGATAGCTCCTCTTGCTTTAAACTCTAAATTTACGCATCCATTTGACTACAGAGCAACTTCGTATTGCAGTTAATCAAAAATACTTGACCCTATGCCCTTGACTTTTGTCCTAATTGCTCGGCATCAGATAAGGATAATGCAGGGACTGTCGAAAGTCTTTTCGAGTACATTTAAGGTTAGAAAAATCATAGTCTCACCTCTATATATCCATACAGACGAGTTATCGCTGTTTATAGGCAGATAAACTTGTTGGATTTTATTACATTTGTCAAAAACATGAAATCTGCTCACTCTAATATCATTACTCCCTTTTATACAAATTATCTACTACAAAAGGCTGGTTAAGAGCTATAGCTCTTTCAGTTATATCTGAATATTTGTTCCGGTTGTTTTGTTTATCTCTATACTACACTCGTTCGGCTCCCAGTCATAAAATGTGATTTTTAACTTTAGTTTTGGATTTGAAATAAAAATTGCATAAAGCGTTCCAATAAGCATATTAAGCATACCGAGTATCAACTGACCTTCACCCCAATGCAAAGTAACGCAAGATTTTGATAGTAGAACCATGAGATGTTCACTAAACAATGTGTCCAATCCGATACGATTGGATTGAACAGGTAGCTATCTGAACTCAGTACTTGATTGGATAAAGAGGTGAAGTTTGAGGCAAACAGTACTGGGTTCAAGTCTTGAAGTTCATATCATCTCTGAGATGCAGATATATCCAACTGATGAATTCCGAGAAAAAACCAGCATCCTGCATTCCATTACTAGTCAAGTCCCATATGTTCCACCTCATTGTTTTTACTCTTTAGTACATCTGTGACGAGTTTGGAAAGCCAATAAATTTCTTTGTTCTAGATTCCAGCGCGAAATTCAAACTGAAAATTTAGTCCAAACGTGATTTGCGTTTTTCAAACTTTTGCTGTGTTATTGCGCAACAACAGTACCAATTCTGATCTAAAGAATCTATTCTGGGCTATACGTTCGGTAGATTACTTCTTTTGGAGTTTCACCCAATTTAATAGTTAACTGTGTTTTCGTCTCAGCTTACTATTTGGGTTTTTTCCAGCTTTTGACGTAAAGGCCGGTTCAGTTTATCACATCCGTTCTTATCCATTTTTGCCCGATTTTAGTGTGCTTTTCAGTGCATCTTTTTAACGGTCGTGGGCTTATGCTAGCATCTATAATACAGTTTACGTCAATATAGTCATGAAAAATTCATGCAAACGACTTGGATAACGTTTTTCTGTTACATCTGGCAAGCAGTGCGATAACTGCAAAGGTTGGTTCCATGAAACGTGCATAGATCTCACAGCAACTGCTTACAACAGACTCAGCAAGTCGGATCATAAGTGGGTATGTGTTACGTGCAACACGGATGCTGTAGTTTCGCTAAGTAACATCATTGTCCTATTGACAGGTCTGCAGAATAAGTTGTCAGTAAACTTGGAAAAAGACGGTCATAAGGTGGATAGACAAACAAGGACGCGCAACGAGAAGAAGAATAGCGACGTCGACAGGTCTACTATTGATGGAGCATGCATCACCACCAGTGATGGCATGCTGAAACCCAGCACCATCATTACGTTGATGGTAACAGACTACTTCAGCAACCTCGGGTCTCCCAGCTCACAGCCCTTGAATGCGACAGTGGTTCTCAAGAACTCTGTAGGTGATTGGACCCACGTTAACAGAGCTAAAAAGGACTAGGCGTCACAGCCTAAGCTGAACATCTGAAGTATTGTAAGGAAATCAGCTGGTGATTTGACCGACAGTCTACTCCTAAGAATGTCTGGCCATCAGAGGGCCTAGGAATTAGAAAGGTGCTTCGAACTCCAAACAACAAGGTGCTGAACCTGAACGCACCGGAAAACCTGGGAAAACAATGGCGGTTCGTGATGACTCTCTCATAATTGTGAACCTCAACGACAAAAATGACAGGATGCTCTAGGGAGGATTAAACAAGGAGCTTGAACTTTCCCGAATAGAGCCATTGACGGTCGCACAGGGAAAGTAAACTAAGCATCAAAATCACCCGATACTACTTCGTGTTACACTCACTAACGCTACCGACGTATAGGATATCCTGCTAGCTAGTCATTTGCTGAAATCTGATGGGAACGTAAGAATACTGCCCGACAAACCGTATCCTGAGCGCAATCTCATCCCGAACATCCCTAAAGGATCTCGCGAGAAGTTTTTCCGCGGAAGAAATATAATTGTGCAAGATGTACCGGAAAACACGGACCCTAGTCAAGCAAACTCTGATATTAGGGAATGAAAATTCATCAAGAAGTCCTTGGAGCTTAAAAACATAATGAATCAGCTTGTGACGAGACTAACCAAGAAGGAAGGTGATTCTATACCCCGGCTAATGAGGATAACTTTCCCATCCCCCCATATGGTGGCTGCAACTCTGGGAGTATTTCGTGCCAACAGACGTCGGTTGCCAACTGGAATCCATATGCACCCGGATAGGCGACATGACGCCAGGATCAAGCACAGAGGCAAGTTGGAGCTGACCATTCCACTTGTGGACTGTATGGTCATTAAGAAGATGTGTAAAGAACAGGGCTTGCCAACTCGGCAAACCTTATATAGGTAGGCTACCTGTCCATTCAAGTAAGGCCCATACAGACAAACAGAAAAAAGCCCATGAGTTTCAAATTAAAAGCATAAACTGCTTATACATGAACGCCGCGAGTCTTTCAAGTAAAATGGATGAGCTACGTGAAGTTAGCAATTCTAATAAGGCTCATCTGATAGGAATAACTGAAAATTGGATATCTTCTCAGTTCTCAGACCAGGAGTTAGCAATATCTAGGATGTCTTAATTTTGCAACGACAAAAAAGCAGTAATTGGGGGTGGATCGACATTTTAAGGTCAGGGTTAACTTCACTTTATCTCAGGATATGGAATGTCCTAGTGGGGTCCCCCAGGGCTCAGTACTAGGACCACTTTTCTTCTTGATTTATATGAATAATCTTACACAACAGGTATCGTCAGACTTATTGCTTTTTGCTGATGATGTGAAACTTTAGAGAGAGATACGCAACCAAGAGGATATATAAGCACTTCAGGAGGATCTGACTCGACTTCAAAGTTGGGCAGACGATAACGGACTTACCTTAAACACTCCAAAGTGCCAAGTAGTTCATCTGTGAGATGTTGCAGACTACAGTTACAACTTAAGAAAATCATCTATAGTAGTATCCCGAGTCGAAAAAGATTTAGGAGTCCTGGTACCCTACAAATTGAAGTCTTACGCTAACTGTGATGGAAATGCCTTTCGAGCAAACCTTGTACTGATGACACTAAAGCGCATTCTTGACCAGTTCGACGGAAGAACTTTCCACATAATCTTCAACAGTTTTACTCGTTCCCAATTAGAGTACGGAAACATAATATTTCCCCCCTCACTCCAAAAGGATAAGGACACTCTGGAGCGTATCCAACGGCGAGCCATGAAATCTGTTCGGGGACTCAAATTCGAACCTTATGAAGAGCGCCTCTAACCACTTAACCTTTACCCATTAGAGTATGGACGTCTTAGAGGTGACCTTCTAATGGCTTACAGTATCCTTAACACTTCTGGACATCCCCTTCAACACCTACTTAAGTTTACCTTCAACACAAACCTAAGGGGTAACACCCAGAAATTGTATATACAACATAGCAGAACGGATTGTAGATACAACTTCTACTCTTTAACAGTTGTCAAATGCCGGAATTCGCTGTCGACTGAACTAGTCCAAGAGACTTCCCAAGAGTCCTTTAAGAGGAAACTTGACCCATTCTTAAGGACTAAGGACAACATCTTATTATGATTTACCAAATTCTTTTTTCTCCTCTCTCATCGTTAATATACCTAGGTTCCTGCCTGGAGGCTTCGGTGATCCATTGCTACTAGACAGGGAAGCCCGTTAAACGAAAGCTTTTTCTATTACGTCCACAACCATTTGAACCATTTGAGCTTATAATTCCTTCCGTACAGTTCCAGGCAATCGGCAATATACAACAAGAGTAATCAACTGCACACATTCTAGTCAGCCCACTGTTTTTTGTGGGTTTACGTTCATCGTAATCTGGACACCTGAGAGAGGGTCATTGTTACCTCGCCTGGAAGAGGAGTTCAAATAGAGCCGACTCTCAATGGGAAAAAGTGAAAGAGACATTAGATTTCTGTCCTTTGGTGAGTAAACTTTCAGAGATTCCCCCTCAGAGCAATGTGATGAGGCTTTGGTAGGAAGATTTTTCAGGAGACTGCGTATGCGTTTCAGGGGAATGGGGATGATTTGGATTTTAGAACTCGAAAGCCTAACTTTAGTCTGTCATCAAACAACGACGATCCCTGTCCTATTCGGATTGCTACCTCTAGTGACACGTGAAGGGGGTGTCTAGAAACCACGACCTCAATGACACTGCGTAGAAGGTCGCATGACCTTTACTAGTTAAATAAATGACTCAGCACTCGAATACAAATTCTGTGGAAGATGAGTCAACTGTCACTGAGATACCATAGTATTCAGGCTGTACTACTGCTTCATGATAAGCCATCCATACCCATTACTCCGGCACGTGTGTTTCGAGTACTGAGTAGAACTCCCCACTCAAACCAACGAAAGTTCAAACTAAGGCTTCGTATACAACAGTTGAGTCACGTATGCTTACTCCTGTTAGTGCAATATACAAAGGAACCTTCAGAAGTAGTACCACGGGAGTCACTATAGAAGAACAACACAAATCCAAGTGGATCGCGACGAGGAAATCCTGGCGAATCCATCAAAGAGGTCACTGAATGCCACATGTCTGCAATAAGGAATAGGAACAATGAGCATCGGTACACCAAAGTTTGATAAAAATAAGATGATGAACCTCATGGATCATTACTAAATTCTTTTCAGTGCCCCAGTTTAAAGGTTTATGTATTGGAACGCATCAGAATGAATGCTGAACCTTGCTCGTTATTAGTGTTATCCCAGAAAAACTTCATATCAAGGTCAAATACTACAAATGATAAGCTCTTCATCAAGAGTTACGCTGACGTCGGCGGTTAGGCAATCGTCAAGTATAAGAGTTCAAATTAACAACCTTGTTCGGTACGAAAAGCGCTGAGGTAACAAGTCAAAGGTGTTGAAGAACGAATCAGAGTGGGTTCTAGAAAGACCAAATTCTTCACTTAGGACTGTACTTACTAGGTTGCAGGGGATTAAGAGGCTCTCTGATGATTGTGCACAACATAATAATTACTCCATCTCGATTTAATAAAAGCACAGTCTCATAACGAGTCAGGCCTACCTATAATGTTATCGCAGCCAACCTTGTCCAATGAACCGCCCAATACGGTCGGTAGCTCATAGATTCCTGGAAACGGAATGGAATGAAAGTCAACTTTCATTAATAAACATACGAAAGTATAACTCCATTCCTTTTATTATTACAATCTAGGGTGACTAGGATTAGTTGGTGCTGGAAATGCCGTCTTATAGGGCATCTCTTATTTCTCATGTTTGGACGTAGATCACAATCACGCCGACACCAACATTCGA